GAGGGTTACACATACGCTGAAGAATTGGATTACTTAGAATTATCAGTATGGAATTCTCCTAAAGATTCCATGGATTTTCTTTTTGAAGTTAGTCGCGAAAGCTGCAGTAACATGTTACAATCTCCAACTTTTAAACGTTTTCTATCCGAACACTCGAATGATAAGAAACCATTCGATTTGATTATCCACGACATAACCAACTGCGAATGCTTCTTGGGACTTGTACCCTTCCTAGGGAACCCGAAGCTTGTTTTAGTGACGGCCTTTGGAGAGTTACAGGCCCTCAACGTGAAGGGCAGCCAAGGCCATATGGTGCACTCTCCAATGCAGTTCACTTACTTCAGTCATCCGATGAGCTTCGACGAGAAACTCAAGAACTTATTCTATAATCTCTATAATTATTATGTCTATCATAAATATGCGAATACTCTAGACGGTTATTCCAAAGAAGTATTTGGACAATCGACCCCTCATATCCTGGAGATTGGTAAGTCAGCAGCCGTGGCACTCGTCAATGCACATCCTATTCTTGATGGTGCCAAATACTACAGTCCTGCAATCGTCCATATTCCAGGATTCCACATCGATGAACCAAAGAAACTAGAAGAGGTAAGGAGACATTTTTCTGAAATTTTGAATTAATATAAGATTAAATTTATATTCTGAATTATTTACATTGTATGAAGTTGGCTGAGCATCAGTTGGCTGAGCATTTTAACCGGGAAAATTAAATCGTAATTAATTTTCTAAAGAATTTCTTATCCATTGCTGCAATTCTGCAACTAATAAGCTATTTAAGCAGACACCAACTGAATGAACGCGACAGGAACATTACTGTCTTTCTGTTATTATTGTCTTATTGACCCAATTGTTGAACAGGACAATGGTCATTACAAATGTGGATTCCAGCAGGGAACATCTACTATATACCAAATCTTTAACCTCCGAACTATACTGGAGAACCCAACATCATCTTTTAATTGGCTTATGATGTTAGTTGGCATATGATACCATACACTGAAAAGAGCTCTATAAAGAATATTTGATCTCACTGTTCCACAAAAGCTTATACGACTCATAAAGCAGACGATGGAAAATGTTTGATTTATGGTCCAGATACGAGGTCGGAGATCATCGGAATTTGCTTACAGAAGAGGAGGACGCCCTGGTATAAATACTTTTTAACATGATATTGGAAAAATTAATAAGGGCTCTCAAGTTCAAACTTCAAGCAAGGTGTGAAACAGATCGGTACTGATGTTATCATACGCTGATGGTATGGGTTTCGGAATAGTATGGGTTTCGGATCTTCAGCCTCCGAGATTGACTGTTATCAATGTTTCATTTTGCTCCCACAATTTGAGCAGGTATCACAGTTTGTACACGGGATCAGTTAAACCTGTAATGATGTAGCAGTGAATATTAGGAGGGTAAAACTGGCTGCCAATTGCTGCTATTTTGGACTTCGGAAGTATCTTTCCAGCAATTTGATTACTAGTCAACCAAAAATTATTATTTTTGAGGGACTCTCATTTGTCCTGTACTGTGTTATGGCTCGGAGATATAGAACACAACCAGGACCAAGAAGATCAACTTCTCCTCACATTTGAACGTAAAGTGTTATTATTATTTATGAATATCACTATTATGAATCTTAACATGTTTAATAGTAAATTATTAACATAACTTTGTAGTTTATGCTTGAGTTCAATCGAGAAATGTAAACAGTACTTTTGCCGAAAATGTATTCATTTATATTTTCTTTATACTTCTATTTTTTAGGAAACACAAGCTTTTCTAGATGATGCTAAACATGGAGCTATTTATTTTAGTCTTGGTACAAATATCCAGAGTTCATTGATGTCAAAAGATAGGATTAACATTTTCCTCAATACATTTAGGAAATTGAAACAAAGAGTTTTATGGAAATTTGAGGATAAAAATATCAAAGATATACCAGAAAATGTCAAAATATCCAAATGGTTCTCTCAAAATGATGTCTTAGGTAAATATTAATATATTTGATGTATGCTCTATGTTTTTGTCATTATAACCCTATTTATGTGTTAGTTAATACATAGTAAGAAAAAATACAACAATATAGCAGTCTGTTTCAGCTCATCCAAATTTGAAGCTCTTCATCACACATAATGGGCTGTTAAGCACTCAGGAAGCAATCCATTATGGTATCCCGATGATCTCAATGCCATTTTTTGTGGACCAACACTTCTTATCCAAAAAATTAACAAAGAAAGGTATTGCTGTTGCATTGTCATATGCAACATTGTCGGAGCATTCAGTTCAGCAAGCTATTGAAGAAGTTCTCACAAATAATAGGTAAATTGATACCTTATTTCATTATAATCATGTATGAATTTATTTTGTTTCCAAACTATTAGTTATTACTCCAATGTTCATATGTGTTTATAAAATAATTACACTTAATATTTTAAAGTACCGAAGTTCATTTCAAATGGAATGTTTATAATTTTGCTTCCTCACTACCGAAATTAGGGAAGTATTGTATTCGTGCGAGAAGTTTAAAAAAAGTTTAAACAAAATTTGTGTTCAGAATCGAAAATGTTCACTCGCGTTTTACGTTTCAGACATCAACGATCGAATTTGGTTCGATGTCTGTCTCTCTGTCTGTAGTCAAATCGATGTAACGGGCACATCTTGTAAAAATTGTATCTAAATTGTAAAATCGATCACATAAACTGCTACTTTCGGTTAGCCAATTTTGTCGAAAAAGTTACTGTAACATCCCAGGTGTATACAAACGTCAATTATGCAATTTCACTGGCATAAGACTTTTGGCTTTTGAGCTAGACTATTTACACACACACAGACCATTTTGTGGGACTTGGTTATTTGGACTCAGAAGACCTCAAAACATGTATTTCTGATGATTCGAAAAATTTCACTATCACAATACTTTCCTTTACTATATATTTTATATATAGGTAAGTGAAAGTAATAATTACTATAGTCAAACTTAAATTTTTTGTTTTTATGGCGTTATATTTCATTTGATGAGATATTCTACGTTACTAAAATTACGTTAGGCAGTAAATATTTTTTTTCAACCCCTGAAAAAATACTAATGGCTATAGTCATTAAATAATCATACTAATATAATATAGTTTAATGAGTAATATTATAATAGATTTATATAAATAATTATTAAAATTTTACAAAAATATTCTTATATTTTAAAAACTTATTTTCAGTTATACTAAAGAAATAAAAAGATGGTCAAAATTATTTAAGGATCAGCCCACAAAGCCAAAGGAATTAGCTCTTTATTGGATAGAACATGTGCTGAAAAATGAGGATCACAAATATCTTCAACCTCCAGAAACCTTCTTAAGCACATTTGAACTAATATTTTTTGACTTAAAAACAATCCTGGGAACTATCTTGGGATTAGTCATTGCTTTCTTGGCTTGCTCATGCAGCAACAAGAAACAGATAAAACTCAAAAAACACTAATTAAATTTAAAAATTTAAATTTGTATATACATAAAACGAAATGTTTATTTTAAACAAAAGAATTGTAATTTATTGCAGTGTAATTATTTCTGTAAAACAAGTTAAGCTTCTTAAGACCAGTTCCAAAGTATTTAAAAACAGAAAAAAAATAAAACTTATGACTTGTTGAATGAACATGACATTAAATATACTAAGAATTAAAATTAATACAAATCAAATATATTTCAAGGAGTTTCAAAATAGTTATGCTATTTTTCTAAAATATTAAAACTTTAATACACTAATCAAAGTTCAATGATATTTATTTGTTTAACTTGTAAATTTTTAATAATAAAATTTTTAAAACATATGAGTGGCTTTGTATCAAAGATGGACATCTGTAATTTATTTTTGTCTTATAGGTTCAAATAAAACTGTTTCTGTTAGTTTTATTTAAGAAAGTTCAAGTTGAATGATGAAAACAAATCAGAATTGTTTTATATTTAAGCTATGGATTCTTATAATACAACATCAAATAGTTCAGTTTTTTTGTTTTGAGGGAGTTTTCAAATTTTTAAGCTGAATAAGTATGAATTTTTTCTCAGATATTATGAATTTGATCTTAAAACAAATTTTTAATCCAGTTCATACAATATTTCTGTTTAACCTATAACTCGCCAAATGATAACAGCCATTAACTTTTGCAAGGATTTTTGTTTTGGATACTAATATGGTTCAAAGATCAAAATCTGAACCATTTGTACTGATGAAACTTTCAAACCATCGATTGCAGACAGATTGAATATGAACTAATGTATTTATATTTACATACTTATACAACAAATAAATGTTTATAAAATATTAAAATAATTCGTATATACTATTTCTCAAAGGTGTTTTTTGTCAGTACACCACGTACTTGCTAAAACTAAACCAAATCCACTGATTGAGACATCATTCTTAAAATTATCCTCTTCAGGTGGAAAAAATAATCAAAAGAACTAGAAACTTTATTTACATGTAACTAAGAAAGTATAAAATTATATTATAATTTGAAAGTTTCCTAAATTACCTATAAAAGAAAAATAAAGGTCATCGAATCAGATTAACTTTTTGATTTTTAAAGCAAAATTGTTTCAAAGGTATAGTCCGTGGTGTATACCCCTATTTATGTTATTAACATCCGCCTGAAACTTCGTAAATAACTTCATCTCATCGTAACTTACAATTATTTTATTTATGAAAATTCTCGAAATTGGGGCGTTTCAAATCTGGAGACCGGCAAACATTGTCTATTTAATTAGGTGCTGAAAACTAGTAAATACTCATTTGCTTTCCATTTGAATCGTAATATAATTAGAGCACAAAACCGAAAAAAAAGTGACTTTAAAAAATATTGTGCCATTTGCCGTGACCTACACCACCAATATGTCAAAATAACTATGTTATTTAGGCCAAACGACCAAGTTTTTCTCAATGTTGTGATCAAGTTATCTAACCATCCACCTGAATAGCAAATGGATATTTACGAGTTTTTAGTTCCTGATTAAATAGACAAAGCTTGCCGATCTCCAGATTGAAAACGTCCCAATTTCGAGAATTTTCGTAAATAAAATAGTAGTTGAATAAATAAAAAGAAAGTTGAAAAAATAAAAAATAAAGTTAAAAAACTGTTAAGAGTCCTGAAAAATGAAAATAATAAATTATTCGCCTATTACCGAACGGAAGAATTAAACAAAACAACTGTTGTTATCTGGTTGAAAGAATCAATTCATTATTAGAAATCAAGAACTGTTGTTTACAAACGTTTGGCGTTTTCTCTCCCACTCCTAGCGGTACTGATGTTTTGTTCAGTGGCGACTCGAATATTCCATGATGCAGGTCTGCCGAACGTTTCCTCTCTTGGCATTTTTCTGGCTAACCGAGCTCGGTTTGTGCTCGGCAAGCAACATTTTGGTTATATCCACTGTAGCCTCCCACAGTCACAGCATTTGGTGTAATAAACTGGCAGAACTGTTGGTCAACAGAGGGCATACGGTATTTATATGATAAATAATGTAATGATTGTTACTATGTTATAATTATTAAATGCAAAACTAGCGATAAAGGATAATTAAAAGTAATATATCCAGGAGATTAGCTGCAGTATAAAAGTACTTATAACAATCAGAACCAGTTTAAAATTCAATAAAGTTACTATAATTTACTTTTTATTATTCTACTGCCCCTTTTTGAAACAATTATTTACTGGACGATTCCTTATTATACTTATCCAGTCGCAAAAGAAAGTTTACAAACTCGAGGAAAAGGATCTAAAATGATAGTTTAATGATATTGATATATCTGTCCCCCAGAGGTAAAAGATACCATGTTCATTTGTTAATTAAAGAATTTAGCAATTAAGAAACAATTTCAAAGTGTTAAAAAATTGACTCCCCTGAAAAAATACAAAAATAGACATGGTATTCTTTGTCTTCTTAATACAGATATGTTATTTTAGTCTTCAATAACTTTATACTGGAGCTTCTCGATTAGAATTTTATAAATTATACAATTATTTAGAATATATATTGCTGTCTTATTTTTTCAATTCTAAGAATTATAACTATAATAGTATGGTTTGTTTGAGATATGTAATAAATACCTAAGTTATAAGTGTACTGTTATTAATGATCTAAGAAATTTCATAACTAACCCAGTTGGCCTTGCGTTATATGCAGATGACGTTTTGATTCATTACAGCTCCACCGACATCATCTTTGGCCAATCTGTAATGCAGGAAACTCTTCACTATCTAGAAAAATTCACAAACAACCACCACTCTATTCGGTATCTTGGAGTCACCTTTGATTCAAGACTATCTTGGAAAGTAAATGTCGATAAGTTATTGTCGAAGTTGTCAAAAAGATCTAATGTAATCAAGGTACTCTCTGATTCAACTTATGGCAGCGATAGAGTCTCTTTTCAGACACTGTATATATGTCTCATAAGACCGGTGATTGATTATGGTAGTGAAATTTGCGGAGATGCCTCCAATATTGATACTGAAAATCGGATACTGAACCAATTAAACCCGGTACATCATACAATGATCAGCAGGGCGACCGGGGCCTTCAGGTCTAGTCCTATTAGCAGCATACTCTGGGAGTCCCAAGAGTGGCCGTTGGAACTGCGTCGATACTATCTTTTGCTTAAGTTTCCAGGCCGACTAAAAATTATTCCTGATTTCTTTGACTTTTCACTCTACCAACTACCCAATCGCCTCGCCAGCTTCCCACCACTTTCCTACTCATATTCACTACCCAAGTTTTTCACATCTTCACCTCACCCATTACCTCCTTGGACGAATAACACACCTAGTTTTGATTTCTCCCTTAAATTTGTTACAAAATCTATCAATCATCCCGAAGTTATAAAACAAGACTCGTCTCGGTCTCGCATGTGGGCAACACTACATCCGGTTCAGTCTTCCTTTAATTTATTCAGTCTTCTCACCCGAGTTGCATGTCATTTGTCTATCCGTAAGTCTTATTAATTTTTTTTTTTTTTTTTTTTTTCTTTTTATTATTTGTTTATTTAGAATTATTACATTCTGTCACATCAAGGACATTTATAATAGTGATCAGAGAAAGCACACTCACACTCTATTTACAATAAAAAAAAAATAAATAAATAAATAATACAGAAACTTAATAATAATAAATACAATAAAATAAAATAAAAATAAATACAATAAAATAAAATAAATGTATATAAACAAAAGAACTAACCTAATCATACACACTCGGGCTTGAGTGGAGGATCTGGCCATTGCCAAAACTCCAATAGATGCTTATTTACAAAAGGTCTCTGGGCCACTGCCGCTTCAACCTTCGAGGAGGATTGTAAGGATGGGTGGTGCTGGATAGAGATTGTGCAAGGGGATTTGGATGATAGGTAAGGTTTTGGTGAAATTTGGAGAATTTTTCTGGAATAAGGTCTAGGACAAATGGGATATTAAGGTCATGGTGTAGGATTTTGTTATTTACATAGAACGGAGCATCAACTATTGTTCGAAGGACTTTAGATTGAAAGGATTGAATACGTTTGATGTTAGAAGCTTTTGCTGTCCCCCACAGTTCAAGTCCGTATGTCCATATAGGTTTCAGTATTGTCTTGTAGATAAGTAATTTGTTTTCAATAGAAAGTTTGGATTTTCTGTTTAGTAGTCTGTATAGCTGGCCGTATCGTCGGTTGAGTTCTTGTCTTTTGAGTCTAGTATGTGGGTTCCACGTTAGTCTTCGGTCTAAATGAAAGCCAAGATACCGGACTGTGTCTGAGTAAGGAAGCTGGATGGAATTAAAGTGTACTGGTGGACAGGAACTGCGTCGGAGTGTAAAGGTAATATGTTGGCATTTAGATTCATTAACTTTAATGCGCCAGTTATTACACCAGTGCTCAATCAAGGTGAGGTGGTTTTGGAGATTTAAGGATGCTATGTTGGGATCAGAGTTGGATGATAAGATTGCGGTGTCGTCAGCGAATGTTGCAAGAAAAGTATCGGGATGAACAGGGATGTCAGCAGTAAAGAGGATGTAAAGCACGGGACCCAAGACGCTGCCTTGGGGAACACCGGCTTTAACGGAGTAGATATTGGAAAATTCTGTTCCACAGCGAACTCGGAAGGAGCGGTCAGAGAGGTAGGATCGGAGGACTAGGTACAAGGACTGAGGTAAATGGATTTTAAGCTTGAAGAGCAGTCCGGAGTGCCATACCCGGTCAAATGCCTGTGCAATGTCCAGAAATGCACCCGAACAGTATTCCTTGTTTTCTAGGGCTGAGGAAATATGATCAACAACTCGGAGTCCTTGTTGAACAGTGGAATGTTGGGAGCGAAAACCAAACTGATGGGAAGGAATATTTTGGGATTCTATAATGGGTAGGATTCGTTTCAAAAGGATCTTTTCAAAAATTTTTGAAAGGATTGGGAGTAGGCTAATTGGTCTATAGGATGTTGAGATATTGGGAGGTTTGCCTGGTTTTTGGAAAAGGATAATAGTGGAGTGTTTCCATAGCAGAGGAAAGTGGGTGGTGCGTAGGATACAGTTGTAGATATATGTAAGGAATATGACTGCTTTGGATGGAAGTTGTCGAAGGATTTGAGGGGTAAGGAGATCATGTCCAGGAGCTTTACGGGGGATTAATTTTTTTAATTGAAATTTCACTTCGGAAGGATGAATAGCTTTTGGGGGCAAGGAAAGTGGGATTGGTGATGTAAGGAATTCTTCTACTGTTACGGTGTGGGCAGGATGGGATTCCGGATGTGAAATAAATGTATTGGATAGGTGAATGGCGAACTCCTCAGCCTTATCTTCGTCAGATGCTGCCCAGGAGCCATCATCTCGTCGGAGGGGATGGGAAATGCGGTGAGGATTTAAGATTTTGGTAGTGGTTTTCCAAAGGGAATTGTCGCGAGAAGAAAGGGAGGATAGGTAGGAGTTGAAGGAATGTGATCTGAAGGTGGCTAATTCCAGTTTTAATTTTTTGCAGTAATAATTATAGGAGCAGCGGTCGGTAGGATGTCGGGTACGTTGCCACAATAATCTGGCACGGCGTTTGGTTTGGATTAGGTCAAGGAGGTGTTGGGGTAGAATGGTCTTTTTAGGAATTCTGGAGGAGTCTTTTGGGAAGGAAGCAGTCCAGGCGGCTTGTTGGATTGTGGTAGTAAAGGAATTTACGGCACTATCAAGGTCATCGGGAGTTTTGAGGGATATGTTAAGATCAATTTTATCGGAGATGATTTGGCGGAAAAGGTCCCAGTTAACTGGGCCCCTAATAAATGACGGTGGAGAAGGTTTGGGAACGGGTTCAAGTGAAACATTAAGGATTAGAGGACTATGGTCAGAGGAAAGTTCATTTAGACGTGTAATGGAACAATTGAGGGGACTTAAGCCGCTGTGGATAAAGAAATCAAGAAGATCAGGATTACGGTTGGGATCTGTAGGCCAGTAGGTAGGAGAGTTGGGGGAAAGGAGATGAAAATGTTGGGAATTGAGTGCAGACAGCAGGGTTCGGCCACGAGTATTCGTGGTTCTGGAACCCCATTGTTGATGTTTGGCATTTAGGTCTGCACCCAAGATGAAGTGATGTCCTAAGGAGTCGAGGAGAGAACGGAATTGGGCATTGGATATGGATCGGTTAGGAGGGCAATACGCTGATGCAAGGGTAACCGGAAAGGAAAAGGTTTTTATCACGATAGCGGTGGACTGTAGGAAATCATGTGTAGGTAACGGGAGTAGGTGATGGGAGAGGGATTGGTGTACAATGACAGCAGTACCGGCATGTGCTTTTCCGTCAGGGTGGTCAGTACGATATGTCAGGTATTGTGGTATTTTGAAGTGCTGTTTAGTGGTTAGTCGAGTTTCAGTAATTAGTGCCACGTCAATATTTTTGTCAAGTAATAATGTAGTTAGTTCGTTTGTGTGATTTCTAACACCATTCGCATTCCAAAGGAGAATGGATAAAGGTTTATTGGAAGTCATTTAAGGATTTTTCGCGGGAGGGATAAAATGTGATACAAGATTGGTGAGAAGAGATATCAAAGGAGTAACAAGGGATCTGAATTCGGAGAGGAAAGATGTAAGTAAACTGGTGAGATCTGTGGTATTTGAGGGAGGAGGAATGCGGGGAATTTGGTGTTGATAAAACTGTTGATTAGGTGAAGTTTGATTAGGATGTTGAGGGTGGGGTTGAGAATTTTGAGGTATGTGTTGTTGTTGCGGCAGGGTCTCACAATAAGTAACATCATTCTTACCTCCTAATAAGTGTGCAAAAGACACCGTTGGGTCAATTTTTTTTGAAGGTCCTCTTCTTGATGCGTTAGGTTCTCTTCTTGATGCCTCTGCTTCTTCTTGGGTCCGGGATTTTTGATATCTTGATTTAATATTCTTGTAGATCTGACAGCCTTTGTAGTTCGCTGGATGTCCTTCAAGGCACAATGCACAAACTGCAGGATCCCGTTTCGGTTTTGTGCACTCCCCGGATTTGTGCTGCTCTCC